TGGAGAACATAGCAAGACCCCACTGTAGTTTCTGCTACTCTGGAGGCTGAGCCAAGAAGATCCCTTGGGCCCAGGAGTTCATTCGAGGTTTCACTGAACTGTGATCATGCCACTATACTCCAGCATGCCTGACAGAGTGAGATCCTATCTTAAAAAAAAAAAATCCTTAATGAATAATGACAACAGCAAACGGCAATAACAGCTTTATAGGCCTGGTGCCTGATACTCGCAGCAGCCCTAGGACATAGGAGTGGAAATTGTCCCCATCCTCCAGGTAAAGAAGCTGTGGCTCAGGGTAAGACTTCACAGCCCATGCTCTTAAGCAAACCCTTTCTGGTCTAGTAGACATCTACTTTGGAGTTACTCACAGGTGACGTGTGAATGGCCCTACCCCCAAGGTGATGCCTGCAGTTGGGTGCCTGACTCCCTTTACTGTGTTTAACCCGCCCACGCACAATACTTCCTGCTGCCACCCTAAGATACCAAAAACACAGGCAGCAAAAGCAAAAATAGGCACACAGGACGGCATCCAATTGTAAAACCTTTATGCATCAAAGGAAACAACAGAAATGAAAATGTGAGAATGTACCATATGGAATGGAAGGAAATATTTCCAGATCATACCTTTGAGAAGAGTTAGTATCCAGAGAACTCCCATGATTCCTTCCACTGCTACCTTCCTCCCCCCCACCTCCAGTTCATAGGGGAGATGAAGCCAGCCCATCTCCTGGGAGGGTGGAAAGTAAATTCTGTGAACCAACCTATAGTGGGCCTGGCCACCCACACCCACCCCACGATGACCGCCTTGTCTTCCAACAAAGGCCACTTGGTTTGGTTTGGTTTTGAGCCAGGGTCTCATTCTGTTATCCAGGCTAGAGTGCAGTGGCATCATAGGTCACTGCAATTTCACATTCCTGGGTTCAAGTCATCCTCCTGCCTCAACCTCCCAAGTAGCTGGGACTACAGGCATACATCACCATGACCAATCAATTATTCTATTTTCTGTAGATATGGACCTCTATTGCCCAGGCTGCTCTTGAGCTCCTGGCCTCAAGTGATCCTCCCAGCTCAGCCTCCCAGAGTGCTAGGATTACCAGAATGAACCACCATGCCCAGCAAGGGGGGAACTTGTTCAGAAAGCTGTGGTCGTATTTGCATCACCTCTGCATGTTTTTGGCACCAAAAGCCTTATATTTTAATGGTGCTAAACCCCACTTCCAGGCAAACAGGGACAGCTGGTCAATCTAACTCATAAGCGTGACAGTTGCACATTTGATGTAAAATGGCCCAAGTCTGGTTCTGTTCAACTGAAGAAGCTGACTTTTATTGAGACTCAAACATGGCCACATCCTGTGCTACTGTTGCTTCACAACAGCCTTACAAAGTGGACATCATGGTGATTAATGCCATGTACAGATAAGAAAACAGGCTCAAAGAGGTTACCCATCTGGCCTGAGGTCACACGTAGAATAAGTGGCTAAACCTGGACTCATATCCATTCGAAGACACGTTTTAGCAAATCTGAAACAGCAGTGTGTCTCAGAATCAATGGGATTGCCATCCACCATCTGGCAGGCCAAAAAATTAACTTTCTGCAGATGTGAACAAACGTGATTTCAGCCATCACATTTTTGTCACCTCAGCTGAGTCATGTGCAGTTTAGGAACTACATGTATTAAGATTTACTACGTGTTTAAGAGTTCTTGTGAGCTATAATCCGAGTATAATGATGCATACCTATAGTTCCAGCTGAGGCAGGAGGATCACTTGAGCCTAAGAGTTCAAGATCAGCCTGTGCTATTAACATAGTGAGACCCTGTCTGAAAATTAAAAAAAAAAAAAGTCTTCCAAGATATTGCGTGATAATTCAGGTTGAAGATAAAAAGTAACTGTTCACCCGTAAGGGCCTGGAAACAGTAACAGGGAAGTCATTCTGATATTAATGAAGTGTTTAGTTTTGAAGGAATGGCTGCTATTCTGTATTCTTGCAAAGCCACAACCAAGAACGGGGGATTCCTTTATTTAGACAAAGCTGGGTTAAGTTTTAGCGCTGAGATCATGGAAAGGATGGTGTATGCTAGTGGTTATCAGATGTACAGAGGGCTTTTTAGAACACAGACTTGCCAGACTGGGTGTGGTGGCTCATGCCCGTAATCCCAGCACTCTGGGAGGCTGAGGTGGGAGCATTGCTTTTGCTCAGGAGTTTAAGACCAGCCTGAACAAGAGCAAGACCTTATGTCTTCTAAAAACAGAAAAATTAGCCGAGCATCTTGGCAGCTGCCTGTAGTGCCAGCTACTTGGGAAGCTGAGCGAGGAGGATCACCTGAGCTCAGGAATTCTAGACCAGCCTGAGCAAGAGCGAGACCCTGTCTCTTGTACCAAAGAAACAGAAAAATTAGGCAGGTATTATGATGGTCACCTTTAGGGCCAGCTACTTGGGAGGCTAAAGCAGGAGGATCACTTGAACCCAGGAGTTTGAGGTTGTGACAAGCTAGGCTGATGCCACAGCACTCTACCCAGGGCAACAGAGTGAGACTCCGCCTCAACAAAATAAAACAAAACAAAAACCCGATACTCTGGTGGGCCCCCAGAGTGTCTGATTCAGTAGGTGGGGCCTGAAAATTTGCCTTTATAACAAGCTGCCAGGCAGCTCCTGTGCTCGGGGCTGGGCACCAGAGTCTGAAAACAGAGTAAACAAAGGCAGGAGCAATAGCGGGACCCCACAGGGTAAATGACAGTATTTCAACAAGAGGCAGGTGTGGCTGATTCATGCCTCAGAGATACTTGGCACAAAGGCAGGAAACTTCAGTGCAAATCTTTGGGCCACACAGAAGTCATTTAATGTCCTAGACATTTTCCATTGAGAAAAATGGAAACCATGTGTATCCGGGCTGGTAGAACCCAGGTGTTATGTGACATGCGTTAGCGTGATACTGTCACTGCTGAAGGTGCCAGCAATTTAGGTCAGGAGCCTAGATTTCCTGTCCAAAGAAGCCTAAAAGAGCTCATTGAATAAATATGAAATATCTTAAGAATATGAAAGCATCGTGTCATAATGTGTTTAATCGGCAACATTTTTAATCATATATAAAAAGTTCTGATGTATCTCACAATCTGTAACATCCTAGATTCAAAGAAATAGGATGTTTGTTTTAAGAGAACTGTAACTAAGCTGGGCACAGAGGTTCCTGCCTATAATCTGGCACTCTGGAAGGCCAAAGCAGGTGGATTGCTAGAGCTTAGGAGTTTGAGACCAACCTGACCAAGCGCAAGACTCTGTCTCAACCAAAAAAATAGAAAAACTATATAGCCAGATGTTGTGGAGGTTGCCTGGAGTCCCAGCTACTTGGGAGGCTAAGGCAGGAGCATCGCTTGAACCCGGGAGTTTGAGGTGGCTGCAGACGAGGCTGACACTACCCAGGCCGATAGAGTGAGACTCTGTGTCAAAAAACAAGAAAAGAGAACTAAAACTAGCACCTGAAAACCCGTGGCATGAATATTTTTGCTTTGAACAAAGCTAAAACAAGTAGTGATATTAGGTCTGTGTTGATTTGAGTAAATACATTCAGTAAGTAATTGGCAAAAAAAAAATGTCAAAGGTTGGATACCTCAGGGACTGAAGTTTGGGAAAGAAAACATCACAGGGTCTCTCAAAATCATCACTAGGGCCTCTCAGCCTCAGTTCACCCAATGAACAAGTCCCACTAGTTATATTTACTCCTTGCGTGAAGCCAAATCTCCGTGTGACAAATTACATTTTAAAGAAGAAAGAATTTCTAAGCCCTGAACCATAAGCTTAGTTAACAAAATAGCCACAAAATATTTTATCAGCCAAACAAGAAAAAGAACAAGAAAGAAAGAAGTTCAAGGCTACCTATCTTAGCTTTGTTAGGATATTCTATATTTGGTCCCTCTTTTACTGTTTTTTTCTTTTTATCTCAAAGCATCTGTGAGAGTACAGAATTTTTATTTTTCTTCAGGAATACTTAGGCTGAAGACTATATTAATTCGACTCGTTGTGTTCAGAGTTCCTGAAGTTAATTCCTTTCTGGTGATGTATGAGGATTTTATGACACAGATGATGAAAGTGCCTAATCCATTTGGCTTCGGTTAATAGAAAACCTACCTGGCCTAAATTATAGGGACATTTCTTCTTCATTTCAGAAGTCTCAATTTGGGTGATTTCAGAGCTGTGGCTCAGCATCTGATGCTTCATCTCACTTTGTCACCCTCATTAGAGTGCTGTGGCATCACAGTTCACAGCAACCTTAGGCTGGTTCTTTTCCCTCAGCCTCCAGAGTAGCTGCTACTACAAGCACCCACCATAACACCCAGTGGTTTCAGAGCTGTGGCTCAGCATCTGATGCTTCATCTCACTTTGTCACCCTCGTTAGAGTGCTGTGGCATCACAGTTCACAGCAGCCTTGGGCTCAAGTGATTCTCTTGCCTCAGCCTCCAGAGTGGCTGGGACTAAAGGTGCCCACCATAACCCCTAGCTATTTTTAGAGACAAGGTCTCCCGTGGCTCAGGCTGTTCTCAAACCTGTGAGCCCAGGCAATTCACCTGCCGTGGCCTCCCAGAGTGCTAGGATTATAGATGTGAGCCACCACTCCCACCTCAGCATCTGATTCTTATGCTTTTCCCGTTTTGGTGACAGAGTGGCTGACAAAGATCCAGGCATCACATCGTCACTCCAGCACATCAAAGGCAGGAAGTAGGGCAACAGGGTAGCAAAAATGAATTTTCCTCAACTGTTTCTCCTTCTGCCCCCTTTTTTTTATTCTCAAGAAAATTAGAAAGGAAAATCTTTACAGAAACCTCCCCCCAGCACATGCTCACTAGTGTCTCATTGGCTAGAATGGGGTCACGTGATCATTCCTAAACCCCAGAGGAGACTTGGAAAGCAATCTAGCATGTTCATTCTCTGCAAAAGAAGTAAGCAAAGGGAATGGCTATTGGGCATTTATATTATGAAAATTAATAATTACTGTATCTTTTAGTTTCAGCTCCTGAATTTGTTTTTGAACATGGCTATCAAACTTATCTGCCCACGGAAAGTAATGAAAACCAGACAGCCACAGTCATCTCTCTCCCCGCCAAGTCACGTACCAAAAAGCCTGCAACGGCACCTGCTCAGAAAAGGCTTAACTGCTGCTATCCAGGTAAAGGCAGTGTTAGGCCCTACTTGGGGAGGGGAGGGGATATCTATCCTAGTTCAGGTTCTAAAGCCTTTACTTATGAATTTCTGACAAATGGCATACCAAACTATCTGGCATAAAAACTAGAGCCCCACAGCATTTAATATCAGCGCACATGGCCTTTCTCTGCTCTCCATGGTCAGGATGCGTGTGGGCTCTTAAGCTTTCTATGGCCACAGGCTTTGAAATGGAATTCATGAAAACTTCAGATTGCTGTGAATTTTCCTGCCTGTGCTATATAGTCTAGGGAGAAGACATATCCAGTGAGATTTTCTTCTTTTACTTGTTTTTTAACTTTTTATTTGGAAATAATTTCAAACTTAAAGAGATATTGCAAAAGTTATACAAAAAATTCCTGTATACCCTTTGTCAAGATTCTCCAAATGTGGTTTGGTGCCTGTGGCTCAAGTGGCTAAGGCGCCAGCCATGTACACCCAAGGTGGCGGGTTCGAATCCAGCCCAGGCCTGCCAAACAACGATGACGGCTGCAACCAAAAAATATAGCCAGGCATTGTGGCGGGCACCTGTGGTCCCAGCTACTTGGGAGGCTGAGGCAGGAGACTTGCTTGAGCCCAGGAGTTGGAGGTTGCTGTGAGTTGTGATGCCACAGCACTCTACCCAGGAGGACAGCTTGAGTCGCCTGTCTCAAAAAAAAAAAAAAAAAAAAAAAGATTCCCCAAATGATAGCATTTTGCCATATTTGCTTTGTCATTCTTTATAGACATATATATTTTTTTCTCCCCAAACAGTTAAACAGTACCTTGCAGTCATGATACCCCCTTACCCTCAAAGACCTCAGTGTTCGTTTCCTAGAAACAAGGGCATTCTCTTATACAGCTACAGAATGTTCATTAAATCAGGAAATTAACATGTATGTATACTATTACCAAATGTACTGCCTTAGTCGGATTTCACCAATTATCCTACAAATGTCCTCTTCATCAAAGAAAAAACATCCCCCCCAGCCAGGTTTCAACCTATGATCATTATTTGCGTTTAGATTTTATTTGTCTTTAGTTCCCTTTAATCAGGAACAGCAAAGCTTCTGTCTTTCGCAAGCTTGACATTTTTGAAAATTATAGGACAGTCATTTTGTAAAATAGACCTCAGTTTGGGTTTGTCTGATGTTCCCTCATTATTAGATTCAGGTTATGCACTTTTGGCAAGAACCACACAAGTGATGTTGTGTCCTTCTCTAAGCATCAAATAAGGAGGCGTGTGAGACCTAGTGGTCCCATTACTGTGACGTTACCATTTGTGCCTTGGTTAAGAAAATTTCGGGCTCAGCACCCATAGCCCAGTGGTTACGGCGCCAGCCACATACACCAAGGGTGGCGGGGTCAAACCTGGCCTGGAAGGCTAAACAATTGCAACAAAAAATAGCCAGGCATTGTGGCAGGCACCTGTAGTCCCAGCTACTTGGGAGGCTGAGGCAAGAGAATCCCTTAAGCCCAAGGGTTTGAGGTTGCTATGAGCTGTGATGCCACGGCACTCTACCAAGGGCAACATAGTGAGACTCTTGTCTCAAAAAAAAAAAATAATTAATTAATTTAAACAAACAAACAAAAAAGGCAGCGCCTGTGGCTCAAGGAGTAGGGTGCTGGCCCCATATACCAGGGGTGACAGATTCAAGCCTGGCCCCGGCCAAAACTGTAAAATAAAATAAAATGAAATGAAATAAATTTTTTTTTTTAATTGAAAAGAAAAAGAAAGTTTCTTCCTATTTTCTCCACTCTAAAGTTACAACGTTCTCCTTAGTAATCTTTCCTGTTTTTTGTTTTTTGGTAGGTTGCCAATTCAAGACTGCCTATGGTATGAAGGACATGGAGCGTCATTTAAAAATTCACACAGGTGAGTGAAATTTCTTTACCACATATGCCCCAGACCCCGGCTGTGGAGTAGGAGCTGGGTGTCCAGATAGGTCAGACACATACTATGCCTCAGAATCTCACTGGTCATCACGGGAATAGAAATCCTAATTAAGTAAAAATAAGATGTTGTTTTTATGTATGACTTTGGCAGAAAATGTTGAAAGCAATAAAATACAGTGCTGGAGAGGATGTGAGCAAACTTAGCTAGTGGGAATGTGAACCGCTGTAGCCATTTTGAAAACTAACCCACCAAAATTAATGAGAATCTAAGTGCCCATATTCTCAAGGATCCTCTAAGTGTATTTGTGTGTAATGATTAATAAAGGGAGAAATAGGGGAAAGAATGAAAACTTATATATATTTTCACACTATCATTAGATACAGTGAGGATGTATTGTTATTGTCACTTCGATAGGAGAATTTAATAAATGCCTCTTTAAGAGGAGAGAGAAATCAATGTGTGGTCATATTAATTCTTGGGGTTTTAACTTTCTTTAATATATTATTTTTATGTTTCCCAGATTTTCTGCACAGAAAAGGAGTTGCCTTTAGATTATTTTTAACAAAATATTAGATGCTCATTTTCAAAGGATATAGACATATTATAAGATTCAAAAAGTAGGCTCGGCGTCTGTGGCTCAAGTGGCTAAGGCGCCAGCCACACACACCTAAGGTGGCGGGTTCAAATCCAGCCCAGCCTGCCAAACAACAATGATGGCTGCAACCAAAAAATAGCCAGGTGTTGTGGCGGGTGCCTGTGGTCCCAGCTACTTGGGAGGCTGAGGCA